TTAACTCATTACAGAAAACAGACACTTTGGAAATTGAAACAAAAGTACAAATATGGAAATAAAAACCACCCGTGATCACAGCTCCTATCATCTTGCTAGTATGAATATCATAAATTAACAGTCCTATGCAGTAACTAAATGCCAGCCTCAGCAGAATGTGGAGGATTCATCCATAAGCTTGTGTTTGCTTTGTGTATAGATGATAGTTAAATGCATAAGAGAAGGTGATCTTATCTAGAGCCTTGATACATGGGAAAAGATCAGAGCACCAAACTTGAAACGCTGTATGACCCCTCTAGTCGTCTGGATTTGGGGAACTGGGTAACTGTCAGTGGAGATTAAATGAGCATGGTCTACAGAGAGGGTATGTGTTTTAAATTACACTTTTTAATTTTCAATAAAAATATCAAGACAAAAGATTTTGGTGGAAAATAGATTTAAACAGAAGTTTAAGTGTTTGTTAAAATTTTTCTAGTTATAATTATTAAAATTTCACAGATGTAAACTCAGAGAAAAAGAAAAGGGGAGGTGTTTATAAGAAAACTTGTATTTCACAGAACCTAAAGGCACGATGCACTCAGGCTTCAGGAAAAACTGGCTCAGTTGCTCTGAGGCTTCAGTGTCTGTTCTCTTTGCTGTTATCAGCAAATCTTTTTTAACTGAAACTTTTTTTCTCATCCTAAGTCTTGTGACTTCCCACAGCACCTGGGTATATGAAGCTTGGATATTTTGGATTCAGTTCTTAGAGAAAAAAAACTTAGATTATTTGAGTTTGGGTCTGTTGTCCAGCCATGGATGTGGGGACAAGGTCACAACTGACAAATATGGTATTATTACTGTAACAGTGCAGATGTGGGAGCAGCAACTCCCAGAAAAGAGGAGGCAGAAATAAATGGTACTTACTAAATTGACCGTTTTTTCTAAATTTATATTCATACCGTAAATATGAATCATTCTCTCTGCATTCTGTTGGTAACTTTCTTAGAGATTCACTGTTCTCTGCCTTGTAATACAGTTCTCTAAAAACACGTCCTCTCCTTGAGTTCCATGAGGAATATATATTCCAGTGTATTTAATACGGTTTTTGTGCTCAGCTTTTTGTTAAATGAGAGTGACTACTGAGGAATAGTTACTCAGTTTGGCCTTGTATTGAATGGACTGTTACTGTGTGTTACTATTCTTACATCTTTTTCCTATTCTGTTTTTAGTGGTATGCCATCTGTATTAGTGATGTTGGAGATTATGAAGGCATCAAGGCTAAAATTGCAAATTCCTACATTATCAAGGAGCATTTTGAGGTACTGATGAATGTTCAAAGTCATTAGTTTTCTGAATAGATTTCTGTTTCATTTATCTATTACTGTGTAGGCCCAAACATAGTGGCCTAAAACAGTGACAATTGATTTCTCACGATTCTGTGGATTAATTGTGCACAGTGGTACTTCTGTTCTGCTTGTTGTAGCTGAGGTGGTTTAGATGGCTGCATTCACCTGGGCCCTCAGCTGGGACAGGGATGAGGTGCCCTCTCACCTACGACAGTTTCTCTCTACTTTTCTTTCCGTCCTTTAGTAGTCCAGCCAAAGCTTCGTTATAGCATGGTAGCTGGCTTCCAGGAGTGAACGTTCCAAGGAAAAAGTTCCAGTGTGCAGACTTACATCAAGCATGTTTGCATCACACCTAGTAAGAACTTGTCGACCTAATAAACAAGTCATGTGGCCAAGACCAGAGTATGTGGGAGGGGACCATACAGGGTCCCGAGTGCTAGGGTGTGTGGCCTCATCTAACAGGCTAACACAACTGAGATACCACTCATACCACTCCCACAGTAATACATGACTGTGGTCCCTGATTGTGTGTTATGTGTGTGTGTATTTTAATATTTCCCCCTAAAGTTAATTTACTTATTTATAGTAAGCTCTTCCTTAGGTGCCTGAAATTCTGCGGGAGTTTATATACTTCATGATGTGCTGCAAATACACTATTCCATTGTCCAGTAAAAAACAAACAACAAAAAAACTGCAGCTAAAAATCCAGAATGCTTTATTTCTTTTGATATTATAGACCATCTCAGAAAAAAAAAACAACAGAGGAAGAGAAAGTAATGAAACACTTTATGGTTATAGTCTCAGTTCCTGGGTTTATGTAATGACAAGTGGAAA